ATCAGAATACCACCTTTGCTGGTTTTTGGGACTATTATTCTGGTTTTAGCACAATTTTTCATTTTAATGTTGTAATTCTTTGTTATGGTAATGATGATTGTTTTAAATTTTGTGTGTGATGTCTAGATGATTAAGGGTACATAACCCTAGCCCAGTTCCCACCGTCTACTTTTTGAAATTTCAACACTAACTCGTCGTTATCTTTTTTATTTTCCAATGTGTATTGATACTTGGACCTTTGACGCTGAAAAACTTATAGATGAATGTATGTTTTTCAAGGTCTTATGGGTGGTTGTACGTTGTGTATTAAGTCAGATTCTCAAGTGTTGGTTAGGTTGGTGCTTGGAGAATTTAAATGGCCCTAGAAATTATGGGGTATTTTGTTCAAGATATTAAGGTTGTTGGAGGGGTTGGACTTTCAGATTTATCATGTTTACAGAGGGGCAAATAATGTGGCTGACTGCTTGGCAAAGATGGTTGTGCACAGTGGAGTTTCTTCGGTTTTTCTACTGTCTCTACTTTTTGTCTGCTGCTGTGTAGATGGAGGTCCTGACACTGTATTCTGCAAGAGGATGTCCCTTGTGCCTGTCCAGCTGGGCAATGGGTGGGGTTGTTTGATTCCTGATTGTAATGCTATTGGTAGCTGGGTGTTTTGAAGGATTAAAGCTAATAGCTTGTGCTGTAAATGAGGTTTCTTTCTTTTTTTTTTCTTCATGTAATTCTTTGATTCATTGAAATAAAATTTCCTCTTTCTTTAAAAAATTAAAAAAGGTGATATGTGGTCATTTGGGGCTCGGAATCAAGTGAGGGCTGCTCTACATATGGCACAACAAAGCTAGCAATTCATTTGTGAACCTTAAAAGCTTGGGAAAGTAAACCCTTACTTTGTCAAGCTTGCGGACGCCATGGTGACATGAATCAAAGCTTGGGATGAGCTTAACCCGGCCAAAGACTTTGCCAAATTTGAAACTCAATTATTTGCATCGTTACATCTTTTTATCCATACCTTGGTTTACAGATTAGTAGTTGTAATTTTCTTTTTCCTTTTTTGGTTTCATGAAACAATCTTGCTTTGACATGGACTTATAGTTGGATTTAACAATCAATTTTGCTAATATTATATGGGTTTGTTCAATTTAGTTGTTGAGTTTAATTATTGTTATATGGGTTGTGCTAATAGCCTATGTACTTTGTGATGATACTTTAGATGGTTTTTAGTAGTTCTAGCAATGACAAAGACAAAGCAAACTGAACTGTAAAAAGTCATAAAACTTTTTTTGAATTGTGTTATGGAGGTGGATAATACTTAGTTGGACTATATAGTTTTTTCGTATGATACTTTTATTAATATGATATTTTTGTATATGATATTTTTTTTGTGTATCAATCTATGTGTAGTGTATGTTTGTATATGTGTATTCAATATTATTAACAATTGTTACACAAATAAATATTTTTACATCCAATCATATTTTTTATATAATATTTTAATTTATGCATTTTTTATTTTAAATATCCGAATAATATTTATTTAATGAAAGTGTTTTTCTTATAAAACACTTATTAAAAAAGTATTGTAGTGAATGTTGCCTTCTAAACCTTGTTTGATGGACTATTCAATCTTGGCCGAATGACCAGAAGTTGGGCCTTAAACGGCCATACCCATTTAATGATCCAACATTCGTTTGGGTTCAAAAGAATTCCAACTAGGCCTTATTTGAGTATGGATTGATATTTTTAATTAACTATTTAAATTTAAAATTCAAATTCATAAAATATGTGAAATATAGATATACTAACATTCAATTCGATTATGATCCAATTCAGAATATTACTTTTGGGTTCGTGTTATGCCAGTGTTTTCTATTTCCTAAGCACAATATTTAAGAAATGAATCTAGTTATAAATATTAGATTTAATTAATGAGTAATGCTATTTATACCTAAAAATTTGATCTAATTTATTGACATAATAATGTGATTTAATAGAAATCATTGGATCAATAGCAAGTTTCAACGTTTGATAAGGCCTAAAGCCAATTCAAAAGTCTTTGTGAATTAGGTCAGCAAATTATGTCAGATTTTTAAGTTTCAATAACATTGCTCTTGATGAATATTTAAATCTCAAGACACGGTGGTCAATAGCTGAATTCAAAAGAGTAGTTGACATAAACATGAACACCCTTTAGCGAAAATAAATGAATATCTAAATCTCACACTTATAACACAATTCACCAAACGATATGAAATTTGAANATGAACACCCTTTAGCGAAAATAAATGAATATCTAAATCTCACACTTATAACACAATTCACCAAACGATATGAAATTTGAATAACCTCACACATTAATATGAGAATCAAATTTTCACAGTATTATTAGTTTATAGATGTACTACACAACAAATTTAACATTTGCCTAGGGTTGATTTAAATCCTTAAGATTACCCCTCTATAGCACAAGATAAGAAGAGTGAATTTTGAAAAACAGAACCAGCCTCGTGTTTGTAATGAATCTTATACACACTAACCTACAATAATTGAACATTTTGAACCAATATTTCCCGGACAATGGCATCAACTTGCTCATTTTCTATGAGTTCATCTCATGTTCTAGCTTTCTCTCTCTATCGGGGATAGAGTTCAGTAATTGATGTTTCATTTACAGATAGTGGAATCGACTCGCTCGCCGATTGATCAATATCCAGATCTTTTGGCTTGCTTGAACCTGTTCTGCTACGAAAATAGAATGCAGGGTGGTGAGGCAGTGGCATGGTAACTGAGTTACTGTTGAGCATGAGAGCAATTGATGCCATCGTGGGTCTGTCTTCAAAATCTTCTTGAACACATAATAAACCGATATGAATACATTTAATCACTTCATTTCTATTACAAGAATCTCCGAATGTTGGATCCATCAGTTCCAAGGGTGTGCCATCTCTCCATTGATTCCAAGCCTGCAACATTCATCAATGGATTGTCAAGATTGGTGATATTGTTCATCACTTTGGAGATGATGAATATATGGTAGGAATCTAACAATAAATGGTTGCACTCACATAGCTAAGAAGGTCCTCAGCATGATCAGATTGATAGAAAGTGCTATTCTTTTTGCCACTTACAATCTCAAGAATTAACACGCCAAAACTAAACACATCAGACTTCACAGAGAACTGTCCATGCATTGCGTACTCTGGAGACATGTAGCCACTACAAGAAAAATCATGAACAAAGGTCAAAGTAGAAGCAAAAAAGAGAATTTTTAAATTCCTCCATGAATTCATANTGCCACTTACAATCTCGAGAATTAACACACCGAAACTAAACACGTCAGACTTTACGGAGAACTGACCATGCATTGCATACTCTGGAGACATGTAACCACTGCAAGCAAAATCATGAATAATGGTCAGAGTATAAGCAAAAAAGAGAATTTTTAAATTCCTCCATGAATTCATATCATTATTTAGAAAAAGAAAAACTTACTATGTCCCGACAACTCTACTTGTATTTCCTTGAGATTGATCACCACCAAAAAGCCTTGCCATGCCAAAATCGGAAATTTTGGCATTCATATCCTGATCTAATAATATATTGCTAGCTTTCAGATCACGATGTATAATTCTAAATTGAGAATCTTCATGCAGGTAAAGGATTCCTCGCGCTATTCCTCCTATAATCTTGTAACGTCTTGACCAATCCAACAGTCCTTGTTTTTCGGGATCTGCACATTGAGGAAAAAAAATTTATAAGGCATTCAGGTTAGCATTGGGGAGAAAGGTTTTAGTCAGCCTGCAAAAGAATGCAATCCAACTCAAACATGAATATTTGAGGAAGAGGATCGATGTCTACATCTTGAAATGGCAAATATGCTCTAAACAACACTCCCAGTATCACCAACTATATATCTAATTATAGGGGTATCTGACTCCCATCCAAATATCCAAATATAGGTTGGGGTTCAACCCTGACCAATGTTAATGATGTTCTCATCCTTCTAACAAAAATATAAAAAAAGTGAACACTCCCTACTTTGTCAAGGAAATTTTCTACATTTTCAAGGATGTGTCTCTAAGATGAACTCTCAATCTCTCCCCCCCCCCCCCCCCC